CATATGATTATATCAATAGGTGCAGAAAAAGCATATGACAAAATCCAGTATCCATTTATGATAAAAATTCTCAGCTAAGTGGGAACAGAGGGACCGTGTCACAACATAATAAAGGCCATATATTACAAAGCCACAGTTAACATCATAAGCAATGGGGAAAAGCTAAAAGCATTTCCTTAAGATCAGGAACAAGACAAGAATTTCCAGTTTCACTACTTTTATTCAACATAGTATTGGAAGTTCTACTAGCCATAGAAATCAGACAAGAAAAGGAAATAAAAAGCATCCAAATTGAAACAGAAAAAGTAAAACTGTGATGATTTGCAGATGACATGATACTGTATAGACAGAACCCTAAAGATTCCACCAAACAATGACTAGAACTGATAAATGAATTTAGTAAAGTAGCAGGATATAAAATTAATATTCAAAAATCAGTAGCATTTTTATACACCAAATGCCTTTTTATACACCAATCACAAACTATCAGAAAAGGAAATGAATAAAACAATTCCATTTACTATTGCATCAAAAAAACAATACCTAGGAATAAATTTAACCAAGGAGGTAAAAGACCTGTACTCAGAAAATTATAAAACATTGAAGAAAGAAACTGAAGAAGATACAAATAAGTGGAAGAATGCACTGTGCTCATAGATAGGAAGAATTAACATCGTTAAAATGTCCATACTACCCAGAGAAATCTATAGATTCAGTGCAATGCCTATCAAAATACCAATGACATTTTTCATCTAAAATCTATGGAAGCACAAAAGACCCTGAATAGCCACAACAATCTTGAGGAAAAAAGAACAAAATTGGAGGTATCACACTACCTGGTGTCAAACTATATGATAAGGCTATAGTAATCAAAACAGCATGGTGCTGGCATAAAAACAGACACACAGATCAAAGGCACAAAACAGAGAACCCAGAAATAAACCCATGCTTACCTGATCAATTAATCTATGGCAAAGGAGGGAAGAACATAAAATGGAGTAAAGACAATCTATTCAATAAATGGTGTTGGGAAAACTGGACAGATACATGCAAAAAAATGAAACTAGAGACCTTCCTACACCATGTACAAGAATAAACTCAGAATGGATTAAAGACTTAAATGTAATAAGATATGAACCATAAAACCCCTAAAGAAGAAAACATAGACAGTAAACTCTCTGACATTGCTATTAGTGATATATTTTTTTCTGATCTATCTCCTCAGGCAAAAGAAACAAAAGAAAAAATAAACAAATGGGACTATATTAAACTAAAACGTTTTTGTACTGTAAAGGAAACCACACTAAACAAAAAAAAACAACCTCATGAATGGAAGAAGATATTCGCCAACAATACATCTGATAAAGGATTAATATCCAACATTTATAAAGAACTCATACAACTCAGCACCAAGAAAACAAACAATTCAATTAAAAAATAGACAGAGGACCTGAATAGACATTTCTCCAAAGAGGACATACAGATGGCCAATAGACATATGAAAACATGCTCAACATCACTAATCATCAGAAAAATGAAAATTAAAACCATAATTGGACATCACCTCATACCTGTCAAAATGACTATCATCAGTAAATCAACACACATGTGTTGGAGAGGATGTGGGGAAAGGGAATCCTCATGCACTGTTGCTAGGATTGCAAACTGGTACAGCCACTATGGAAAAAAGTATGGCAGTTCCTCAAAAAATTGAAAATAGAACTACCTTATGACCCAGTAATTCCACTTTTTGGTATTTATTAAAAGAAATTCAAAACAGTAATTCAAAAAGACATATGTTCACTGAAGCATTATTTACAACATCCAAGACATGGAAGCAACCCAAGTGCCTATCAATAGACAACTGGATAAAGAAGATGTGGTACATATATACAATGGAATATTACTCGCCCATAAAAAAAAATCTTACCATTTGTGACAACATGGATGGAACTGGAGGGTATTATGCTAAGTGAAATAAATCAGACAGAGAAAGACAAATACCATGTGATCACACTTATATGTGGAATCTAAAGAACAAACGAACAAACAAAACAGAAACAGACTCATAGATACAAAGAACAAACTGATGGTTACAGAGGGGAGGGGGACTAAGGGATTGGGTAAAAAGGTGAAGGGATTAAGAAGTAAAATTGGTAGTTACAAAATAGTCATGGGGATGCAAAGTACAGCATAGGATATATAGTCAATGATATTGCAATAACTATGTATATTGACAGGCAGGTACTAGACTAATTGGGGATCACTTCATAAATTATATAAATGTCTAACCACTGTGCTGTATACCTGAAACAAATATAAAATAATACTGAATGTCAACTGTAATTGAAAAAAAATCCTCCTGAATGTTTTCAAAATAATTTACCATCCTTCATTTAATCATTCTCATTTTACTTCTAAACAGATATTATACAGAAAAGTATGAAGTTATTATAAAAGAACTGTTAACTTTACTTGAAGAAATCTCTTTTTCTTAATTTAGTAGTGCTGGGGGATTACTCAAATTAGGATTTCAATGAATTTTAAAAACCAAAGAGTGTTCTCCAAAAGGACATCAATCAGATTGGACAGGCAGGGTTACTACTACTCACAAATAATTGGATATCCATCCCGGCTGGCACAGGCTGCTGCTAATCTTCTTCCGTTGTGAGAGAAAGCAAGACAAAAACATCCTCGTTCTCCTGCACTTAGTGAGAAAAGCTGCTTGTTTGGGATACGGCAAGCCTAAAAGAACATACATTTAAAAAATATAAATTAAGAAACATCAAAATACAAAGGCTAGTTGTTAACTTCAATTACTGTAGTGGAGGACGTTTATCCCCCAAGTCCTTTTCCTGTGACACAGAGGAAGAGAAAAGCAAGTAAGCAGAATGATGGAAAACCACTTAAAAGGGGGAAAAACCTTAAATCATTATGAAATCATTAGAATCACTATGACTCTATTATGAAAATAGGTGACTTTACAGACACCCTGGAAGGTTTTCAAGACTCCCAGTAGTTCCCAAATCACACTTTGAGAACTGCTAAGCTACACAATTATTTATTTGTTTATTTATTTATTTATTTTTAAAGATAGGTGGTTAGTCTTTTTTTTTTTTAAAGATTTTTATTGGGGAATTGACTGGATTGAAACAGCGCTGGGAAATTGGGGGAAAGGGAACAGACAAGATGCTGTCGTTTTGTTCTTAAGTCTAGTTGTGGAGGATGGTGCTTCACAGGCTCAAGTTAGCACCATCATTGCGCTCTTCCCAGGCGAGGCAGATCAGTCGCCGGCTTCTGGATGGCTGCTCACTGCGGCTGCTGGCCACACACCATCGCGCCACTCAGCCGGACCTTTATTTATTTTTTTTTAGCTGAGCCATCCTGCCACCTGTTGGCAGCTCAGCGGCAGCTCAGCTAGGTCCGGGAATAGAACCAGCGACCCTGATGCTCAGAGCTCGCACTCTTGAGCAAGCTCTTAACCACAATTATTTTTATACCTGTCTTTCCTTAAGACTTCTCTGCAGCATACCTGACAGCAAACACCTTTGTAACTGTTTTCTATTTCCCCAAGTGATGTAAAAGATCCCCAAGGGCATAGTCTAAGTGTTGTTCTTTCTATATTATTATGTTTGAAGTATTTAAAAATGACATTAAGATGGATCTGTAAAATTGGCCTCAAAAAGAAAGTAAAATGTGATGCAAAACACAGAATGTGAAAAGGTCTAGGATAATAATCATTCTTCTGTAAATACTTAATGTTTGGATAAATTAAGATTTTGGATACAATGCATCTGGTAATGTCTCAGACACATAATATAAAACAAAATAACATAATATAAAACAAAAACATAAAACAACAAAAATTTTATTAAACAACCTAAGATGGGGCTCTTTGTGGAGACAAGAGATCTGCAAAACTAACAGCAATGCTTCTCACTACTGCAAAGTATGCTAACCAAGAGAAAACCTTAGTAAAAGCCTAAATACTGCTCAACTTGCAGTAGAAGGATATACATGTACTCTCTCCATCAAAATGTGATTCAGGGAGAAGCCAGGGACTACAAAAAGCTGCATGAATCCATAAAAAGAAATCAACTTTTTAATAATAATATCCATTAGAAGACTACCTCTTACAAATATCAAAAATCTGTTTTATTTTTATTTTTTTCTTTTGTTATGGGCTGACCTATGACCCCCAAAATTCATTTGTTACAGCCCTAACCCCAGTGCCTCAGAATGTAACAGTATTTGGAGATAAGGTCTTTAAAAAGCTGATTAAGTTAAAATGAGTTGTTAGGATGGGGAGCCAATATAATCAGACCAGTGTCCTGACTGGAAGAGACACCAGGGCCTACAGGCAACGGGAAAACACCACCAAGAGGCAGCAACATGGCAGCCATCTGCTGCCAAGAAAGGCTTCAGAGCAAACCAACCCTGCCAACCCTTGATCTTGGGACTTCCAGGCTCCAGAACAATGACGAACTAAATTTGTTGTTGAGGTCACCTAGTCTGCATATTTTTTTATGGAAGCTCTAGCAAACTGACCTGGGCAGTTGTATTAAAAAACCTAAGATGGGGCTTTTATGCAAATGATAAGCACTCTTATTATTATCTGTCACATGAATTCATGGAAAGACAAGACTGTGGTTAAAAACACGGATAGTCTGAGAGCTAAATAGCAATCCAGTTACCCTAGGACCTGTTGGAAAGTTTAAAGTGAATAACTAAATATCTAAATAAATCCAGTATCATCAAACACTTCACCTGCCCAGGTAGTCGTTTCCACTTTACATCATCCTTTGCAACTTCTAGTCCAGGTTCTGTCTCTACTGAACTTGACTCACGGTGTTGCTCACAATACACTGGTTTCCCTTTTTCCTCCTGAGGCGCCATCACAGAACAGTAAGACGGCTTTATCTACACATGTATATAAAATGAGAAAATTATATATCATGTTAATTCTTTTCTCTTTTCTAGCATATACGGTTTTAAAAATATTGAAATAAATGACATGGAAATGTTTTCAAAGTGTAATCCAGAAAAAATTCTACTTTTTTTTTTTTAAGATTTTTATTGGGGAATTGGGGGGATGGGAACAGCGCTGGGGAATTCGGGGAAAGGGAACAGACAAGTTGCTCTCGTTTTGTTCTTCAGTCTAGTTGTGGAGGACGTCGCTTCACTGGCCCAAGTTGGCACCATCATTGCTGTCTTCCTGGGCGAGGCAGATCAGTCGCCGGCTTCTGGACGGCCGCTCACAGTGGCTGCTGGCCGCTCACGCTGGCTGCTGGCCGCTCACGCTGGCTGCTGGCTACACACTGTAGCCCATGGCAACCCACTGCAGCAGGGGCTGCAGCCTACGCCATCCCCGGCGACTCATGGCAGCCCAGCTCCAGGTTGAGCTGTTGTTCAGCATCTTAGCTGTAGAGGGCAGTGTCACTGGCCCTCATATGTGGGACCCGAACTGGGGCCCTCTGGCGTCCCAAGCCAGTTCTTAACCATCGCGCCACTCGGCCAGCCCCAAAAAAATTCTACTTTTATTTGTACATTATTCTAAATAAAATTAAAATTGCTTGAAATTAGAGTCTTATAACCAAAAAACCTTAGAAGTTGGGAGTTAAAAAACAGAATTCTAATGATAACATGAAATGGTTCTAATAATTCTGTTCCTTTGTTTCTGCCTCTTCATCAATACCTACAAGAAGTTATGTCATGGCTCTAATATGCTATGGTATCTCTGACTTTAATATCACAAAACTGATATCATAAAGGTCGAAAGTTTTTTAAACCTTCCATTTCTCAAAAGTAATTTAACTCCATTCAAATCAATGCAAACCAACTCTGTGGTCACAGTTTATATCAACTATAGAATATACAATGGACATGGAATGTCTTATAGCGAATAAGACAAAAGCAAAAGTTTAACTTCATTTTAGGACATATTCTTTGCTAAGATTGCTCACAATTTTAATCTCTGGAAACAGCAGTAGAAATAGTTTTACTGATTATTTGAATAATATTGTGAAAAATGTGCCTGTAAATCATGTCTGCAAACTATGGCCCAGGCCAAATCTAGCCTGCTGACTGTTTTTGTAATTAAAGGTTTATTGGAACACATTTTCAATTTGTTTAGTTATCACCTACATATGTCTACATAGCTACTTTCATGCTACAAAGACAAACTTGAGTAGTTGTGACACAGACTGTATGGACTAAAAAGCCTAAAATATTTCCTATCTGATCCTTTATGGAAAACACTTGTCAACTTCTGCTTCACATCATTCATCTTTAACTTTTAAAAAAAAAAACCAGTATTATTTTAAGAAGAAAATATTTTTCCTAACATTGAAACTTATATTTAATACTTAAAATTCATTTAAGTATCTTCTAAGTATCAGCTATTACAGGCTTAATACATAATCTTTGAAGGTAACTTTCTATTCTAGGAATCTATTAAAATAATTCTAGAGTCCTTATCTTTTCAGAAATGGAAACATGTCACCATTTAACCTCAACAACAGAGGATATATATTTTTATGTGCAATTACTTACACATTCTGGAACTTTCAATCCTCTTACAGTTACATACAATGTAGATGGATAATGATTTCTTGGACATTTTGACCACCATTCAAAAACCTCAACGACATTTGACTGGGATCGAGGCCTTGTTGGTGGGTAATACAGCTGCAAGCGAAGTTTTGAATTGATGTTTACATTTCCATTGGCTCCTAGAAGCTTAAAATAAGAATTCAAATACAATTTTATCTTCATTGAAAATAAGTACATCAGATAAAGCAATAATACTATATAGTCAAAAACTCATTTTAAAAAGATTAATATGGCATGCTGAAATTCCTTAGATTCATAAAGCAAAGAACATCGACTGACATAGTTGGTTAAGTACAGTTCCAAATCATTTTGACAAAAGGTAACCTAAATGATGTTTTAAATATTTTCCTGATAGTTGTCTTTTTGCCTGTACAACTTCAGATGGTTGTTAAAGCATTTACATTACTGTGCCAGATGTTACTTTGCACAAAGGTGATCAAGATACCTTTGTTTGAAATAATAAGAAAGATTAAAATGCATATTATTTAAACACAGAAACAGATTTTCCATTTGTTTAGTATTTTTAATGGTAAAATTTTATGGTTTTAATTTTTAAAAAGTCAAAATCATTTTCTAATTAACATAATTAAACTCATTCAATCCATTAATTACATTTAAAAATAGTTTAGTCTGCCTTCTTATAAAAGTTTACTTAATTAAAAAAAAAACTACTAAATAACTTATGTTTAAGCTAAGTAAATGGAGATTTTTATGAGAAAAATAAAAATCTCACCAAATCAACACAGGCCCTTTTTCATTAGATTATGACTCTAAGTAGAAAATGCCTTTGTTAACCTTTGTGTTCTACAAATTAGGAAGACAGCTGGGAGTTTTTGCAGCAATTCAGGCAGAACAGAAAGGTGACAGCTACAACAGAAGAGTAGGGACTGCGTGCAGGAAACATATTCAGTAATCGTTACTGACTGATGCAACTTAGAAAAATCAAACAAGAGAAAAGTCATGAAAGACTCTTAAGGTAGTGTTAACAGAACTTCTTGTGATGATGGGGATGTTCTGTGTTTGTGCTATACAATACAATGTGGCTAGTGCAACTGTGGAATTAAAAATCTTAATTATATTTAACTTTAATTAACTGGAAGTCACATAGCCACATGTGACTTGTGGCTACCAAAACGAATAGCGCAACTCTAAGGTTATAAACTTGGCAGACTGGGCAGATGGCAAAGCTACCAACTGAAGTAGCTGCCAGAGAAGGGGTAATGATTCAGGTAGGGTGTGCAGTTTGGGAGGAGTCTCAGATATCTATGGGTCATCCAAGTTGAAATGTCTGAAATGTGAAGCACAGGCAAGAAAAGTGGGTCTAAGGAAAGTGGGTTAAAGATGAAACCTTGATTTTATTGATTGATATTAAAGAAGTAAATGGAAGAACATGAAGGAAACTGAAGGAATGGTATAAGGAAAATCAGGAAAGGATGGTGTCTAGAAAACCAAGATAACCGAGTTTCAATAGTAACATATTACATGTGCATAGGTAACATAAAAGAACTGAAAAATGTTCAGTAAGTTGGCAAATGGAAGTCTTATTGATTTGCTAGGAGACGCTTTAGGGCTAAGGAAAAATTCAGATTGCAGTGTGTTCAGAAATACTGAAGCGTCAATAAAGGAACAGAGTTGGCAAAATATAGCCCATCTTTCTCCTACCCCTCTAGGGAAGGATGTAAAGTCAAGGGATGTCGTAAGCTGAGGAATGATGTTATGATATAGAGGGGTAAAGAAGTTTCAAATTGAATAACAGAGATGTCCAGTCATTAAATATTAAGCACTCAAGGTTCCCTTCATAAACCCCACTGCTGACTGCCTGAAGCTTATCATAAGGGAGTATCATTTCAAGGAGGTATTATTCCCCAGCTTCTAAATTACACTTTCTATAAGTTGTTTTAATATTCACCAGGCAATCCAGTTCATACTGGTATGCTGCTTAGTATAAGGAAACAACTAAGATCCAACCAAGGTACTGTCACATGGTTACAAATTATATAATGGAGAACTTGAATAAATAAGGCTTTATTATTTTATAGTCATATATATATATATATATATATATATATATATATATATATATATATATATGCTACAAAAACTGAAAGTACCTCTAGCTGAGAATTAGAATCAAGTCTCATTTATATCTGGACAAGGGTCATTTGAGGTTCATATAGATCACTATAATAACTTTACAATTATCTAGGACATTCCTGGAACCAATGGTATCGGTATTAAAATGTTAAAATTTTAATTTGACTCATGCCACTTCCTCAAAGATGGATTTTTCTTTCTTTTTTTTTTTTTTAGCTGAGCCATCCTGCTACCTGTTGGCAGCTCAGC